CGCCAAGAAGAAGAATACCTCTTCCTGCTCGTCTAACACTGTCTGACCTGCTGTGTTTGTCCAGCTCCACGTTTATTGACTCTGGCTTCCAGCATCTGCAGTCCTTACTGTGTCCTAGTTTATGAATTTGCTTGTTAAGGGGCAAAATATTCCCATTCCTGGATTGGCTGGCTATAGGTAGATAATTGGCAAAATACAGTGGGAATTAAAAATTCAGAATCTCAACATTGTGAAAAGATTCCTGATTTTTCCCTTTTAACTATACAACGATTTTAGTATGTTGCTGTTCAGTGGTGACTACTTTATATCCATATGTTTGCATCTCATTATTTGCCTTCCTCACATTTGGCCGCTTCAAATGTATGCTGTTTTCACTTCTCCCTCCCCAAGAAACTCGATATTGCAAATTCCCAGCATGGAAGTCAGAGCAGGTATCTGGTGGCTGCAGCTTGCTGCTTGTTTGCCCTGGCCAATATCCAATTCTGTCTACACCACAACATCCCTGCATACTCCATGGCCATCATTTTTCTCCACACTTTCCCCACACAAGTCAGTATGTGCAAACCGCCAGCTTCACCACATCATCATGCCTGCTCTCAGTCCAATACACTCACCACTTCAGCATTTCAACACTTGGCTTTGGAGCTCAGGGAACTCATGCTCCTTCCAGGTTGTTTTGCTTGCAGGGACGCACATGCATCTTACACATCCCACAGGAAACATATAATGGCTCTTAGATTCATTGGTGAGCACTTTGTGCTCACTTCCAGTCTGCCAGCCTTTGTGGCTTCCATAGCTTTTTGATGCAGAGTGAAAGGCAGGCACCTTGTCACAGTGAGAAGTACTGAATAGTCAAGGGGCTGGAGGTGTTGCCCTGCAGCACTATGCTACTTCAATCTAACACCTGCAGCATGTGCCAGAAGGTTACCTTGTAAACACATTGTATGGCCTCTTTTAGCAAATGGCCATGTGTGAAAGGGAACAGTCCTTAGTGGGGTAAAGGGAAATGACGGACAAACAAGGATGCTGCTACAATCAGTAAAGCAGCACATCCAATTCCAGTCCAGGAAGTTGGCCACAGTCAGTCAAATGTTTGCTCCGAACAAAGTTCAGTGATCTGTGTCCTTGCACTCCAGGGGTTGGACCATGGTCCCTCTAGCCAGTCATGTGTCATCAGTCTGGGGATTACAGGAAAAGCAGTTAGTGGTGGTGCAGTTGCAGGAGAGGTGGCGAGGTATCCCCAGTGAGTGATTAGGAAACTTAAAAGGCAGGAAGAGTTAGTAGAATGGGAGAATAAACTGGGTGAGATCTGTTGCATGGACATGCTGCATGTAATAGTGAGAGTTGCAGTATAGGAGCCTTGGTGAGAGGTGTGTGCAGTGGGACTCTTGTGAGGGTGAGGTAACTGATAGAAGATGGTGAAACTTACCGCTTCAGAGGCCAGAAGATAACTTTCTTCCTGCACCACTGAGCATTCCTTTCAACTCAAGATACAGCACCAACTGAGGCTGCTATTTGAGGCCAGACTGACCATGTCTGGCAGCCTGGTCTTCTTTGATAGTCAATGGGTAAAAGGACTGCCCTCCTCCTGACTATCCCTCCACCACTGTCTCCAGGTGCATGTCCATGAAGCATGGTGTAAGCTTTGCTTTCAGAGCCATATGTTCAGTGATAATGGCCCAGTACCACATTGTGAAGGGTAATTCTTGGCTTGCAGTGTCTAAAATAGCGTGTGGTTGGACCCTAAATGTGGCACCAGCAAAGTGAACATTGGAAGGCGTTATGAGCACTTCCTTCTCTCTTACTGCAAGAGTCCGTTGCTGAGGAGCTTAATTACTGAGGTGAGGTGCAGAAGATTGTGAGAAAAAGTCAGTCCAAGCCAAGGTGGACCAGGCACCTTGAATCCCCTTTGACTAATCACGTTATCTGCCATCAAAAACATCCAATTCTTGGTTAAGCTATAGATCATATATACTGAGCTTTCGTAGAGCCTATTTGTATTTTACAAGTATCTGTATATTAAGTGGGTTCAATATAGTTTCTTAACATGTTGTTGCATGTTCATTAATTTTAGTCAAACTTATGAGCTTTCCTTTGCTATTGCTAATGTACACGTATTATAAATGACCAAAATCAGCAGAAACTAGGGCCACACATCACCACAAACCATAAGTCCCATTGTTATTAAGGTTGATTGCAGTCACATTGAACTGAATGCCAAGTTACCATGAGAATTGACACCTATAACCAAAATCAATCACACTAACTGTGGGTAGGATAATGTGGAGGAGAATGGAGAAAAAATGGGTGATTTGCAAGGAAGGAATGAAGGCGATACTGAAATGGATGAGCTGTTTTCCCTTGGCTGAGGGAGGAAGTACAATTTTAAATCGGACTGAAGGGGGAGAATGGTGCCAGCTTACATGGGGTAGACATTTGGGAATTAGGAAAATGGTCTCTGAGAATAGAAAATCTGAGTGAAAGTTATCATGCCTTACTGGGTTGTGAAAAGGTAGTGTTCCTGTAGCCAAGTTGAGGAAGGTGTAAATAACCGTGACTCAAGAAAATTTGGAAAGTTATAACAACTTTTTTGCAATCTTAGTCAAGGAAATCTGTCAATTATAAAGTATAAATAAAGTATTAACTGGAATGTATTGTACAATGTAGTAATAACATTTCACAATGTTCAAGACGAAATGTGCAAATTCCAAACAGCTCCTTCAAAATAAGTACCTATAATAGGTTAAGCAGCATCATAGGAGCAGAGAGGCTGATGTTTCAGGCCTAGACCCTTCATCAGAAAAGGGGGAGGGGAAGGGGGTTCTGAAATAAATAGGGAGAGAGTGGGAGGCGGATAGAAGATGGATAGAGGAGAGGATAGGCGGAGAGGAAACAAACAGGTCGAAGAGGCGGGGATGGGGCCAGTAAAGGTGAGTGTAGGTGGGGAGTTAGGGAGGGGATAGGTCAGTCCAGGGAGGACGGACAGGTCAAGGGGGCGGGATGAGGTTAGTCGGTAGGAGATGGAGGTGCGGCTTGAGGTGGGAGGAAGGGATAGATGGGAGGAAGAACAGGTTAGGGAGGCAGGGACGAGCTGGACTGGTTTTGGGATGCGGTAGGGGGAGGGGAGATTTTGAAACTTGTGAAATCC